GCCCCTCTCCCACAGTCTGCCCCGCCCACCCGAGAACCAGCACAAACTTTTCTAGCAAGCATGTTTGTTTGAGGCTGGAGTTTGGGCTTGGCTTGTGTTTTCTGGTCTGGTTCTAGGATTAACGGGTTCGATCAGGGTTCAGGACGTTTAACTTGAGATGTTTGCTAGAAAAGTATACTTGTCTTGAAGCGGTTGCTATTTTGTTGTGTTTTTTTGAAATTTTTGTTAGTTCGTTTTTTTTAAATGTCTATATAGTTTTTATTTATTTTATTTCAGTTTTAGTTTTTTTTTTTTTAGTTTTTTTTTGGGGGAGGGGGGGGTGTAGTATTGTTTTTTAAAATATATAATATTAAATTAGATTTTTTTAAAAATATTTTCTGCTTTCATGTTAATTTTAGTTAAAGTTTTAGTGATTTTGTTTTGTGTTTTTAACATTTTTGTTAGTTTTATTTAATGTCTATAGTTTTAATTTATTTAATTTCAGTTTTAGTTATTATAGTACATTAAGTGAAACTAAATGTAAATGAGATTTATTTTGCTGGCAACTAGCTGAAATAAAATAAGTTTTTTTTTTGTATAGTATTAGTTTTTTATATTTAATTTAGATTTTATTTTTATATTTTCTGCTTTTAAAGTTTTAGTAATTTTGATGTGTTTTTGTCATTTTTTTTTTTTTTTTTACTGTTTATATAGCGTTTATTAATGTTTGTTTTAGTTATTTTAGAACATCAAGTAAAACTAAGTAAAAATGACAAATGTTTAATTTAAAAAAATTTAAAAAAAAATGTAAAGAATTTATTTTTTTTTAAGTTGGAAGTGGCATCAGTGGAAAGGAAAGTCATTTCAGCTGCTGATTGAGTGATGAATGAATCACGATCATGATTATAGAGTGATTTTAATGTGTGTGTGCTTGTGTGTATGCGCTTGTGTGTGTGCGCTTGTGTGTATGCGCTTGTGTGTGTATGCGCTTGTGTGTGTGCGCTTGTGTGTATGCGCTTGTGTGTGTATGCGCTTGTGTGTGTGCGCTTGTGTGTATGCGCTTGTGTGTGTATGCGCTTGTGTGTGTGCGCTTGTGTGTATGCGCTTGTGTGTGTATGCGCTTGTGTGTGTGCGCTTGTGTGT